TCTAGAGAACCGTGATGCCCTTTCTTTTCAAAGGTGTGTTTATGTTTACTGATACTTACCCTGTTTTCAAAATTTATATATCATAAGTTTGTTTATGTAAAAAGTACCCTCTCCAGGACGGGCAGTTGGTGTAATGGCTATGTCACTGGACTACCATGTAGCGAAACGCGGTTCGAGTCCCTGACCTGGTGACTTAAACTCATGCCAGGCATGTGTGCGTGTGTGCTCAAGATCCCAAGAGGAGAATAGAGAAGGGATAGCAGCGTGGCCAGCCCCTGGGGGGTGATTTCTCACATTCTGTCTCTCTGTCTCTCTCTGTCTTTCTGGCGAGTGCACACGCCCTATAGCAAAAACCTCTCAAAAAAAAAAAAAGTACTCTCTCCCTGTGAGCCCCAAAACAGTTTCTGGAAAGGTGGAGAAGGTATCTGGGGGTTATATCTATTTAGGAAAGAACACCAACTTCCCACATTTCTTCCTCCAGGCAAATCTCTTTCAGTAAACAACTAAAGTCATATTTACAAAATATCAGAGTTCAGGGCTAGAGGTGGCATGGTGGTTAAGGCACCAGACTCCCACATGGTCGACTGTGGTTTAAGTCCTGGACTGAGTGGCTTGCTTTCTCACTTTCCCTCTCTCTGTCTCTCTCTGATGAGCACACATGTCCTATAGCAAGTTAAAAAATAATAATAATTGGGATCAGCAGATAGAGTGATGGTTATGTCACTGGACTCCCACGTGGTCGACTGCAGTTTGAGTCCTGGGTCTGGTGACTTGAAACGCACGCCAGGTGCCTGTGTGTATGCATGTGTGTCCAAAATCCCGAGAGGAGAATGGAAGAGAAGGGGCTGCATTTTCCTGGGGCATAGGCATTTCCCTGGGGATGATGTCTCGCTTTCTGTTTCTCTATCTTTCTCTGTCTCTCTGGCAAGTGCACACACCATATAGCAAAAATCTCTGTCTGATAATGATAATAATAATAATAATAGATAAAATTAAATAATTCTTTAAAAAAAATCAGAGTTCATGGTCTTATATCACATAAATGTCACATTTGGAAAGTACCATATTGGCAGTTGAAGGGGAACTGTGTAGATGTGTAATGATTGTGAGACTTTATTTTAAGCATTGTAAGAACTTGTATGATCGGGAACCAGCAGTTAGTGTAATGGCTATGTCGCTGGACTCCCACGTAGTCGACCGCAGTTTGGATCGGTTGGTGGCTTAAACTCACACCAGGCATGTGCATGAGTGCCCAAGATCCCGAGAAGAGAATAGAGGAGAAGGGATGGCGGCGGGACCATTCCCCCCTGGGGGGTGATTTCTCGCTTTCTGTCTCTATGTTTCTCTTTGTCTGTCTGGCGAGCGCATGCGCCCTATAGTGAAAACCTCCCCAAAAATTAAAAATAAAAAAATAAAAAGAACTTGTATGATTGATTTATTTAGCATAATTTTTCAGAGGTCTTTTAAAAAAAGAATTATTTATTTATTTACTTCCATTTGCTATTATTATTTTTAATTTGACCAGACAGAAAGAGAGAGAAAGGGAAAGCAAGAAAGTAAGCCACCAGGTCTGGGACTCAAACTATGGTTGCCCATGTGGGAATCCAATGCCTTTAACCACTATGCTACCTGCTCGCCCACAAAGGTTTTTCTTAAAAAAGTTTGTTTCTTCCATATGAGAGAGAGAGAAACAGAGAGAGGCAGGCATTCCCAATAGGGTCTTCACACTATGACCTACCCAGCTTCGGCCAGCCCCAGGTCATGGGCTCTTAGCTGGCACATCCAAGGAAATTTCCAGAATTAAACCCAGAACCTTCTCAGAGGTCATCCTTGAAGAGTTTTGAGGTGCCCCCCTGCCACTGTCTGGAGAAGGAAAGGCATTAGTCAAAAGATTACATTTTTGGCATGAGTCTTCATAAAGTACTTTAATATAAAAACCAATGTCAACACAATATTTACATTTGTATAAGGCCAGGGTTAAATTTCTCTTGATTAAATTGAGTTTCCTACATTGATTATATGTAGGAAGATCCCACTACTTCTATAACTTGTTTAAAATTATATATGGGGGACCAGCAGTTGGCGTAATGGCTATGTCGCTGGACTCCCACGTAGTCGACCGCAGTTCAAGTCCTGGACCCGGTGGCTTAAAACTCACGCTGGGCATGTGTGCGTGCGTGCCGAAGACCCTGAGAGGAAAATGGAGGAGGAGGGATTGCGTTGTGGCCATCCCCCCTGGGGGGTGATTTCTTGCTTTCTATCTCTCTGTCTCTCTGTCTCTCTGTCTTTCTGGCGAGTGCACACGCCCTGTAGCAAAAACCTCTCCAAAAAATCCCAAAATATATGGGATAGAAACATGGATGGGATGAGAAATAAATGTGGCTGACTCCTTCCTCTGGAGATCTGGAAACTTCTGCTGAGGGTTTATTTGTGTGTACTGATGGGAGAAGGGAGAAGGTTTGAAACCAGCTTCAGCAAAGGATATAGCGCCTGTCTCCAGGACCAAGGAAATGGAATACCTCTCTGCTCTGAAATGTTGATGAGCTGCGGAGGGGAGAGGGACACTAGGAGCAGATGGAATTCCTGGACAATTGTTCCGGCTGTCACCGGAGAGGACAGACAAGAGGGAGCGCTGGATAATTTATGGAGGGACAGATGCTAAGGCTTCTCCGGAACCATCTGGCCAAGGGAGGCCTGGACTCAGAGTAGATGTTGTCTGTAGGTCTGAGTAAACACCTCAGCCTCCAGCCAGCCCCATTTCCTCTACCTGGCCCGCTTGTTGTCTTGAAGCTTGTCCAGGAGAGCTCTCTGCTCCTTGAGAACCCAGTTCCAGAATTCCGCCTAACTCTGCTCTCACTCATTTGCGAAGTCTGGGGCCTGTCATTGTCACCATTTCTGATAAGGGGAAGTGGGACCTTTACAGTCTATAACTTCTATCTGTGCTTTTCCTATTCTATGATATTGTCAACACCTTCTCCTATTTTCATATTCCAAAATACGACAATAACTCACCCCTGCGCTATTTATTCATTTGATAAATAGTTATTGGGAACCTATTATACCAATACCTATTATAGGCATTGTTTTAGACACTTGGGGCTATGGAGATGAATGAGAAAAATACCTAGATCTTTGGCGTTTGACTATGGTGGGAGAGATTAACAAACAAATATTTAATATAATGGCAGATAATGGTAAGTACTATGAAAGCAAACATGGAGGCAATGCTAGGGGGCTGACCAGCCCTTAGCGTGGTGGTAAAGGTGGCTGGATCCCACATGGCCCACTGTGCAATTTAAGTCCTGGATCCAGATCCTTGAGAAACATGCTCGATATGTGTGTTTGGGTACCCAAAATCCTGAAAGAGGAAATAGAAGAGAAAGGATTGAGGTGTGACTATGCCCCGTGGAGGGTGCTTTCTCACTTTCTCTGTTTCTCTCTCATGCTTTCCAGTGAGCACGTGTGCCTGCTGGCATAAAAATAAATACATAAATAAATAATCCTTGTCTCTGTCACTCTCCTCTTTCTCAAAACAAACCAGGAAGGTAAGGGACAGTGAATGCTAGTTTTAGACTAAATGCCCAGGTAAGTCTTCTCTAGGTTGGGGACACTTGAGCAGAGACATGAATGTGAGTGACTTTCTGGAGGAAGAACATTCTCAGCAAACAGCAAACTTAAAGACTCTGAGGCAGAAGTATACTGAGCGCAATGGAAGAAACCATGCTATTTATTCATAAAGCATTTATTGTGGACTGGGCACTTTTTAGAGAATATGAAGACCCAACCAGACATAGGTTTCGCTCTCAAGAACAGCAAGGCAAAAGGGATACAGCATATAAATAAATAATTATAGTACCAGAAGGTGGTATAATCATTATGTCCCTGAACTCCCCTGTGGTGGACCACGGTTTCAGTTCCAGACCCGGTGGCTTAAAACACTCCGGGCACGTATGCGTATGTGCCCAAAACCTCAAGAGGAGAATGGAGAAGGGACTGTGACATGGCCATTCCTCCCGGGAGTGGAGAAGGGACTGTGACATGGCCATTCCTCCAGGGAGTGATTTCTCACTTTCTGTCTTTCTGTCTCTCTCTGTCTCTGCAGCAAGAACATGCACCCTATAGCAAAAATCTCTCTAAAATAATCAAAATAAAAAAAAAATGACAGCACAGAATAGCTACAATAAAGTTATGTGCAAATTGATAGAGATGCTCAGCAAAAGAACAACAAAGGAAAGACTTTTGGGACTAGCAGTTAGTGTAATGGCTATGTCGCTGGACTCCCATGTAGTCAACTGCGGTTCGCGTCCCGGACCCAGTGGCTTAAAACTCACGCCGGGCGCGTGTGCGTGCGTGCCCTAGATCCCGAGAGGAGAATGGAGGAGAAGGGATTGTGGCATGCCCATCCTCCCTGGGGGGTGATTTCTCGCTTTCTGTCTCTCTGTCTCTGTCTGTCTGGCAAGCGCACGCGCCCTATAACAAAAAACTCTCCAAAAAAAAGGAAAGATTTTCTGGAGGGGATGACAGAAGGAGGAGTAGGAATTGATTATGCAATGGGAAGGGAAAGTCTGGGCATCTTAAAGTCAGACGACCTGAACACACAGAACGATTTGGGGACGCGAACTTCCCGGATGCAAAGTGAGGCAAGTGAAAGTGGAAGCGATTGGGTCTTACTGATTTTACCAAGCTGAAAAGCTAATTTTATTATTTGGATGATGGGGAACTAGTACCACGATTCTCTCTTTGCATTTTTGAGCTGTGTCCCCTTCTCCTTGTGTGTGTGAGGATATCAGAGTCTTCCCCCCACCACCCGCTAGTTCCCTGCTCCTGACATCATCTTCCTCCTCTTGAGGCCAAACCTCTAACCCTAGGCCTTAGCGCACGCCACCTTCCCCTTCCAGCTCGCGCCCCAGTTCCCGGGCCGAGGTCCCGCCCCGGCCCCGCCCCGGGCCCGCCCCGGGCCCGCCCCCTGTGACGCGCAGCGCTTAGTGCGTGGGGATTCCCGCGGCCCCGGCTCCTACCCGGCTTGCCCCGCGGCAAGATGGCGGCCTGAAGGCAACGGGCAGCGGCAGAAAGTTTGTTGTGGGGTTGGGCCGGGAGGCTAGAGTTGGGAGGGACCTTAGCACGAAGTAGGGGCGGAGGAGGGACTAGTTTCGGAGATGAGAAGAGGAGGTAGAATGAAGGAAGGTTGGAGCCCGAGAGGAAAATAAAGAGATGGGGCGGAGGGAAGGGGGCCTAGGATCTAGGGGCAGCCCTCGGGGAGGAGGTTCAGAGTAGATGAGCCAGAAGTAGGTATTCTGCAGGCCCCAGAGGTGCAGAGTCCCGAACTGGAGATGAAATTCCTAGCCGATAGGAAAGAAGCCTGGAGAAGGAAACAGAAGCCGACTGTGCCAGGCGGGTGGGAGGGGAAAGGATCTTTCTAGTAGAGGGGGAGAGGAGAGTAGGAAAGGAGGAAAGATCTGGAGGATGCGGAGCAGATCTGCCAAGGAGGGAACCAAAGCCAGTCAAATGACCCTTTTCCAGGCTTAGGTCAGCTTTTTCACAGCTCCTTTAGCAGCATCTGCCCCATTTTCAGCCGAAGACTCAGGGACCCCAGGGACTGGAAGAAATCACAGTGCCTGCTTGGAAAGAAGTAGCGACTTGCCCCAGCCCAACCCCAGAGCTGGTAAGGTGGCCTCCAGTGACAGGTTTCTGGCTGACAGGCTCCGTGGGGAGCAGAATGCATGGGCTTGGAGTGATGCATGGGCTTGGAGTGATGGGAGTGATGCTGAGAATCATTTCATCTGAATAGGGTGCTCTTCTCTAAAGGTGGTTCTTTGCCTGTGGTCCCTAAACTAGTGCTTCGCTTAGATTGCAGGCTGTCTTTTGAGAGATGGTGTAGAATTGAGCCTTGTGTGCCTTTCCCTGTGCAGGCAAACCTGGGCAAGGGCCTAGAGATCAGGCTGAACATATTTTAGCCCATCCCTGGCACAAGCAGTTTCCGCATGCTCACCGTTTCTTCTTTGACCCCCCCCCCATCACATCTTCAGTTTGGCATCTTGCTGGGAAGTGGAGACTTGTGAGGGACAGATGGAGGAAACGAATTTCTGATGGTATTCACTGACCATTTTGGTATCTACTGTCAGCAACTCTTGAATTCTTGTTTCATACCTACTTTGGCTCATGAGCCTTCCTCTGAGGATGTGGATTTGGGGAGATAGGTGGGAGGAGTTGTCAGAGGCGAAGGAAAGGCAGGATGGCATCAGGGAGAAGAGCACCAGTTCAATTTATGGCAGTGAGGCAAACTGATTTGGTATATAAAGCTCTGGGAACATTTATCACATCACTTCCTGTTCCTGAGACGGTTGACATTTGAAAGCTGCTTTTGTTAGACTAGTGTGGTCTTGGAAGGAAAGGCTTACGGAATCTGTCTTTTTCTGGTGGCTTTGTTCTTTTCATTTGTGTTCTCCCCATCAAACCACGTTTAAAATTGTATTGTTTTTTGGGAACCAGCAGTTAGCATAATGGCTATGTTGCTGGACTCCCACGTAGTCGACCGTGATTCGTGTCCCGGACCCGGTGGCTTAAAACTCATGCCGGGCGCGTGTGCGCGCATGCCCAAGATCCCGGGAGGAGAATGGAGGAGAAGGGATTGCAGCGTGACCATCCCCCCTGGGGGGTGATTTCTCGCTTTCTGTCTCTATGTCTCTCTCTGTCTGTCCGGCGAGCGCACGCGCCCTATAGTGAAAAAAAAAAAAAAACCCTCTCAAAATTGTTTTGTTTTTTTCTCTAGCTAAAGTAAGCATGGCCTGAGAGGAAATGGTATTGGTGAGAAGGTAAGGGTGCTGGAGCTAGAGAACTCGGTGTGTGTGGCCCTTACTTCTTTTGGTACTCCGTGGTTAAGTCCAAGCCAGAGTTGGGAGCAGACCTCTTATCAAAGCCTATTTTAGGACCGTGATCTCCGTGTGTGGGCCGGAAGGTCCGGTTTGATCTAGACCTCCTCACTAGCCATCTGTTCCCTGCCCTTCCTCCCGCAGGTCTCTAGACCGAACAACCTAAATCACCATGACTAGGCTAGCTTCAGTACCTTTGGGTATCTGGAGAGCCGATGGTATGTAGCTGAGTCTAGTTCTAGAAGGTTAAGAGTCTTTCTCTGAGCACAGTGCCGCCTTGGACATTGTGGTCAGCGGGGACAGTGTGGTGAGAACACACAGTGGTTAGGAGCGCTGACTCTGGAGCCAGGCCTCCCAAGTCAAAAACCCTGACTTTGCTGTTGGTAGCTCTGCCACCTTTATTAAAACTGTATGACTCTCTGTCTCTCAGCTTTCTCGTCAATCAAATGGGAATGGTAAGAGTACCCATCTCCTGGGATTGTTCTGAGGGTTAAGTTTGTTAACTGATTAATGTGCTTAGGTCAGTGCCTGACCCTCAGTTGTTACACTAGTTTTTCTTTTTCTTTTTTTTTTTTTTTTTTGAGAGGGTTTTCGCTATAGGGCGCGTGCGCTCGCCAGACAGAGAGAGACATAGAGACAGAAAGCGAGAAATCCCCCCCCAGGGGGGATGGTCACGCCGCAATCCCTTCTCCTCCATTCTCCTCTCGGGATCTTGGGCACGCACGCACACGCGCCCAGCGTGAGATTTAAGCCACCGGGTCCAAGACGCGAACCGCGGTTGGCTACGTGGGAGTCCAGCGACCTAGCCATTACGCTAACTGCTGGTTCCGTAGTTTTTAGCTTTCATAAGAAGCACTGATTTCCGCTTTGTGGTTTTTAGCCTGATATTACAGAGATGATGCACAGCTTTTGGACAGTATTGTGTAGATTTGGTGAAAATATCCTTATTAAAAACTATTTAAAGTGATATTGAAATGCCTGTGACTTGTCTGTCCCAAGCTGTGAAACTAGAATGATCTTTTTTGTAAATGAACAATGCTGATAAGTGATGCTTACTGAGTACATTGTTAGGTTGCTTAGAAGTTGTGATGTATTTTTCTATGCAAAAATGTGTCCTGACTTGACCAACAACCTACTGTGTTCCTGGCACTGTTGTAAACTTTACCTGTATTAAGTAATTTGAGAATTTTTCTTTCCTTTTTTTTTTTTTTTTGTATTTTTGAGGAGGGAGAGTTGGAAGATTGGTATGAAGTTAACATTTACTTAATTTTATTTAATTAGTTTACTTATTAGGGTTTTGCTGTAGAGCCCGTATGCTTAGTGAGAAATCACCCCCTGTAGAGCTGGCCACAGATCCCATCTCCACTCAGGGTTCTGGGCACATGCACCTGGTGTGTTTTTCAAGCCTCTTGGTCCACTTCAAACCATGAAGTCAGCTGTGTGGGATCCAGCACCTTAATCTCCATGTCATTTGCTGACCTTATTTATGTATTTTAAAAAAAATTATTATTATTATTTTGGAAAGAGATTTTTGCTATAGAGTCAGAAAGAGACAGAGAGACAGAAAGTGAGAAATCATCCCCCAGGTGGGATGGCCATGCCTTAACCCCTCTTTTCCACTTTCCTCTCTGGATTTTGGGCATACACACAAACGTGCCTGGTGTGATTTTTCAAGCTACCAGGTCTGGGACTTGAACTGCAGTTGGGTATATAGGAGTCTAATGAAGTAACCATGATGCCATCTGCTGGCCCCTATTTTTAAATGTTTAAAAATATGCTGAAGGTCATGTGTGCTCATGGGGTCGGGATACTAAGAAAGTACTCCCATGGGGATGGCCACATAGCAATCCCTTCTGCCTTCTCCTCTCAGGGTTTTGGGTACACAGGCACACATGCCTGGTGTGTTCTTCAAGCCTGGCCAGTATACCCGCTGGAGAGAGAGAAAGCAAGAAATCACCCCCCCCCGGAGGGAATGACCATATCAAAATCCCTTCATGCCTGGTGTGTTCTTCAAGCCTGGCCAGTATACCCGCTGGAGAGAGAGAAAGCAAGAAATCACCCCCCCAGGAGGGAATGACTATATCAAAATCCCTTCTCCATTCTCCTTTCAGGATTTTGGTCATGCATGCACATGTGCCTGGTGAATCCAGGAATTGAATTATGCAGTCGGCCATGTGGTATCCAGTGCCTTAACCAGCCACACCACCCACTGGTCCAAAGTTAACTTTTCAGTATGCGTAGTGGAAATTTGTATCTCTTGGGCCAGCTCCATGGCATGGTGGTTTGGCCGCTGGAGCCCGTGACTGACTGCCGGGTCTGAGTCCTGGACCTGGCAACGTGGGAAACGTATAGGCATGTGTGGATGTATGTCCAAAATCCCAAAAAGGAGGGGGAAATGGAGGAGCAGTGATTGCAGCTTGACCGTATTCCATGGGGAGATGCTTTTCCCTCTTTCTCTCTCTTTCTGCCAGGGCGTGCACCCTCTGACACACACACACAACTACCAACAGTTGGTATCTCTTGTTTGTTTGACTATATCCCGGCTCATTTGTTTGTCATGATAGATATATATACACATACTGTAGTGAAAAACTTGTTTGCAGTTGTTTAGAAAGTTTTTTAGGGGTTGAGTTCTATCACAGCTCTCTCCAGGCTCGCAGAAGTATTAACTGGTGCTGGGGCTAGTGAGGGAGGCCACCATGCCATCTTAGCTCTACATGGGCTCTGTTTGGGATTCAGCTTGACGACGGCCCTTCGGAGAGCTTTAGGCCCAGACAGAGTGAGCAGACTGGCACTGGGACCCACTTTACGCATTCCTTAAAGGGGGTGTGTGTGGGTGTAGTGACGTATCCATAGATGTACATGTAAGGCTCCTTTCTGACTGTAATGATCAACATGAGCAATTGTCGTAGGCACAGTATTAAATTCATAGTCTGGATGTAATGTTTTTTAATTTAAAAGATTTGTGATAGCTCATGCAAGAAAGAGAGAGGAACAAAGAAATAAAAGTAACCCATTGGGATCTGGTCATACTGGGATCCTCTCCCATAGGCCTTCAGCTTGGCAGGATTGAGAATGCTCCCTTAGTGCCTCAGGCCCAAGGCCTGGAACCGAACCCGCAGTGCATTGTGTGGCTTCCAGCACTGTGTGGCTTTCAGTGTGATACCCACTGTGCCGCAGTGGCTGGGTCTCATTTTAAAATACAAGTAGCAAATGATACAGAAAGCAGCTCCCTATGCTTAGACTGGGGACACAATAGAAAACAAATGTGCTTCTGCCTGAGCCTGTGTTGCCTGAGGAAGGCCCTGTCCGGGTGCTCCAGTCTCTTTCCCCTTAGCCAGGCAGGAGGCCCATGAGCAGCCCCGGGGCAGAGGAGTGCCCAGGGTTTGATTGACTGGCTTTCTTTTGCCCTGTATTTAAGCCTCACTGCTCCACTCCTTCTGAGTCATGTCCTGTCTATTTAACAGACCCCTCAGGGCACATCTTTTTCTTCAGTAAATGACTCTGCCTCACCCACAGAGTAGGCACGAGCCTGGTGTCTAACCAGGTTTTAGGGCAAGGGCAATGGGGGCTTCAGACTTCCGGCCTTCTCTGGGAATTCTGACCCAGCCCCGTGATGAGTTCTGTTTATTGCGGCACGTGTGATTTTTGGGAGGTAGAACACGGCTTATTAGTGTTGCTCCCCTCCTCTGTTAACCACGAACCACGGAGCTCAGAGTAACGTACTTCACCTTGATGTGTGCAGCAGTCAGCGTGCCGAAACGTGTTGTTATTTTCATAGCGTACACCTTCG